GGACAGATCCATAGATAGATTGGGCTGGCAGGCAGGATATGAGGAGTGGACAAGAAGGGCTAAGGAGGAGACCGCTGCAGCCTCCATGGCAGGGAGGGTCTCATGTGGGGAAGGACAGGAGCTGAAGCTAGAGTTCCTAAAGTGGAATCAGTGACAGGGGAGCAAAAAAAAAAAAAAAAAAGAAAAAATTCCTGGCATGCACATCCTCATATGAGAACCCATATTTCTTTCTTTTTTTTTTGCCCCTTATGTTAGGATTTATTTTGTTTTGTTTTGTTTTTTGCTACCTATGTGCTCACTAGGAGAGAGAGAGGTAGAGGGGGAAAGTAGGAAATAGCCCTCTGGGGGGATGACCACATCACAATTCCCTCTCCTCCATTCTCCTCCCTGGATTTTGGGCATGTGTGTACACGTGTACACACACTTGGTGTGTTTTTTCAAGTCACTGCATCTGAGATTCGAACTGTGCAGTTGCTCATGTGGGAACCAGCCACCTTAACCTCCATGTCACTTGTTGACCTCTCTTTTCTTTCTTAATTGCCAGAGACCATGTGCACTTGCCACAGAGAGAGACAGAGAGATGCAGAGAAAGATACAGTGAATGGGAGAAAGCATCCCACAGTGGGGTACTCCCTTCTCCATTTCTCTATCTCGACAGGATTTGGAACACATACACAATACACATGTGTCTGGCATGATTTTCCAAGCCTCCAGTGCTAGCATTTGAACTGTGGTCAGCCATGTGGAATCTGGCTCCTTCAACCACCAAACCATGGAACTAGCTCAGAACTCATATTTCAACTACAACAATGTTGAGTCTCTGCCTATAGTTCCCAGGTCAGACTAATGTTCACAGCTTTCATCAGCTCTCCCTCTCCGCTGCTCCTCTGCTTTGGTTAATCTGCGAATCCCAGTCATTCAGCCCTTAAGGAGGTTTGTTCTCCTGGTTATAAACGTCAGCCCCCACTCAGTGCAGGGGCAGGAGAAGGGACAGGTTACATATGGTGCCTAGTCTTCTGTTGGGAAGACATCTTTTTTAGGGTGAAAACAGTCTAGAAAAAAAAATGTCTCCTGATGGGTAAAAACTGCCAAACACCTATTTTCTAAGTATCGTTATTAGAAAATTTTCCTTGCCTGTCAGCTTGGACTTTCCTGTGTAATCATTGGAAGTATGTAAGTTAAGCTGAAGAAGTAATAACAAGCTGGACAATGAAGTCATGAAAAACTCTTGCTCTTTTCTTTTACTTCCTTCTCTGTTGTGAATAGCAGAAATACCTTAGCCTAGCTAATTGATGAAGAGTAAAGATTATTTAGCTCTAGGTTTTGGAGTTCCAAGATCAAGGAATCTCATCTGGTAAGGGACTTCTTGCTTGTGCATAAACTGGTGGAGGGCATTAACACATCATAAGACAGAGCGAGTTTGTGTCTGTGTCTCTGTGTATCTTTGCTCTGGTCTCATTCTCTCTCTCTCTCTCTCTTTTTTTCTTTTTAGAGAGATTTTGCTATAAGACATGTGCTGTGCTCACCACAGAGACAGAAAGAGACAGAGAGACAGGAAGCAAGAAATCACCCCCCAGGGGGGCTGGTCACACCATGATCCCTTCTCCTCCATTCTCTTCTCAGGATTTTGGGCACCCGTGCATATAGGTTCGGCATGAGTTTTAAGCTGCTGGGTCCAGGACTTGAACTGTGGTTGACTATGTGGGAGTCCAGCAACAGAACCATTATGCCATTTGCTGGTCCCCCCTCTCTTTATAAACCCATCAGTATTCAGTTGTAAGGGCCCAAACAACTTTATCTGGTCCCAGTCACTTCCCAATGGCTCCATCTCTTAATTCCATAGTCGTATTCAATTTTCGCCCTCTTAACATTGTCAGGTGCCCTCTTACTACTGTTACAGTGATTCACCACATTTATTTTCCTTTTTTTTTAATTAAAAATGTACTTAACTTTGTTTATTATTATTATTTATTTTCGTTTTAATTTGACCAGAGAGAGACAGAGAGAGGAAGTGAAAGTGAGAAAGCAAGTCACCAGGTCTGAGACTTGAACCGTTGGCCATGTGGGAGTCTAGCATCATAAACACCATGCCATCTACTGGCTCTGACTCACCACATTTCTTCTCTTTAAAATTATTTTATTTAACTTAATTAATTAATTTTAATTTGACCAAAGAGGGACAGAGGAGACCAAGAGAGAGAAAGCGAGAAAGCAAGCTACCAGGTCCGGGACTTGAACTGCAGTTGGCCATGTGGGAATCCAGCAGACTTAACCACCATGCTATTTGCTGGCCCTGACTCACCACATTTCAACACATGAATTTTGGGAGATACGTTCTAGACATAGCACCTCCATAACCCATAGATTATTTTTGTGCTCACTAAATAATTCAGAGTTGCCTATATAAGAAAACCAAGTATTCTTTCCCTTTTTTTAAAGTTTATTTTTTATTTCTTTCAGTAATAAGACACACACACACACACACACACAGCAAAACAGACACAGCACTCACAATAGAGTCCTGATGTCATGAACTGTCCTCGGCCAGCCCAGAACCATAAGCACTGGCATACTCAGGGAGGTCTCCAGACACGATTTAGGAATCTTCCTATGGGGGTTAACCTACTGTCTGGCCCCCAATTCTTTCCTTTTTAACGTAGTTGGATCCTGTTTCGGTAGTCAAAGTTGCAAGATTTCTGTTCACACCTTTTGAAGGAACGTTTCCTGAACTTCTCTCTCATTACAAAAGGGACTGAAAGGGTCTTGCCTGATGTGACGCCTCTCTCAGGGTCAGGCACCTAAGACACTCAGATGTTTGTCAAATGAACTTGGGATTAATTTAGGTCTTGGATATCTGCTATGAGGGTCTGTCTTTATATTTTCATATTTTATGGTTCCTACATAGTTAATTACTATTAGTTGCAGAGGCTCAGAAATATGCATAATATATGCTTTATCCTTATATGTTTCCAGATTGTACAAATAAAATGCATGCATGTAAAGCAGCTCTCTTTTGGTGGAAAATGAACTACTTTCAAGTCTACTGTCAAGGCCACATTAAACAGAAAAACAACTGCAAGTAGAGAAACCATAAAATATTATCATGTTCTTTGCACCCAGTGCTTTTTTCTGATAAGAGAGAAGTGATAAAACCCAGACATTCTCAGCAGTTTCTTGCATATAAAACCTTTTTGCTAAAGGACACCTTATCTGTGAGTCCAAAGGCATCATGACATATTTGGGTGTTTCACTTAGATCTTGGATGTTAGGCCCCCTCCTGAACTTACTTACTCCAATATTCCAAGGTATAATTAGGAATTCCTGGGCTAAGAGTTCCAAGAACTGCCCTTGGCCCCACACACCTGTCCAGTTCACTAGAGTAGCAACCTGGAGAAATCCTTCCTTTCTGATCCGTGGGAAAGAACAATCTAACTTTCAGGAAGTTATTGGTGCTGTGGGGGAAGCATCAAGAAATAAAGGGCATCATTGTCCTTAGTGAGCTCAGAGACCCTCAGAGAGGAGGCCCTAACAATCTGGGCAAGTGAACCTGGCCTATGGCAGTCTGAGTCCAGAAGGACTAGACCTCGTTAGGCGTCTTGCTCTGCACACTTGCAGAGGTGGCTCTGCAGTTCACGGCTCTGCCTGTGACCACATCACTTCCGGGCCCCTATTAGATAGCTAGAACTTGACTTCCTGCCCAGCTAAGACTTAGCTTAGGCAGTTACGTGTGTCAAATGTCTGTCATTGCTTCTTTATCCTATCTCCTTTCCCACCCTGCTCTGTGTCCCAGGAACTGATTGACCAGTAGGGACTGCCTTAAAGGGCTTCCCAGGCCTCTGGCCTCCACCTGGCTTCAGCCCATGTGGAACCCCAGGGAGGGGATGCTTATCACCCAGCTCCCTCCCTCTGGGGTCACTGATGACTTGGCCAGGCAGTTGGGCTTTCTTCACACTCTCCTTCTCTTTGGGTTCTGGAAACTCTTTTTAGTCCTTTAGGCCTGGGGTTGACAAGATCCCTCCCTGGTACAGCTGACACAGGTTATTTCTCCAGTCCTTAGGGTTTACTCGCCCCCAGTTAAATACATTTCAAAATTGGACTGTGCCATCTGTTTCCCTCTGGAAATTTGATTGATCATTGTGGTCTAACGGAATGTGGAGCGAACATGTGGTTGTCTGCAGTTATCAGCAACTGCCTACTGAGAAAGGTGCTTGGGACTCAGAACTGGACTGCCTTCAACTATCTGATAACTCTGGATCTATTTTCTAATTATAATGTTGTCGACTAACTGATGTTCAAGTCACTCCTGGTTATAACATAAATTATTCTGGAATATCCATTTTGGGTTCTGAGATTTGTAACTGCCTGTGGAGGGCGTCACAGGCAAATGTGTATTCTGAGATGCTGCCATCTCTTAAGTATCTAATGCAGGTGCACAGGTGGGAAGTGTATTTTTTCAGTTGCAGCAATGACTTCAGTAGGAGGATTCAGAATCTAAGCTATGCAGCATATTAGTGTTCAAGGGCATGCGGTCCTGGCAGCTGCATCTGGGGCAGAGTTGGTGTTGGTGACCCCAGTAGACTCTGGGGCAAAGAACTGGAGGAAGGCTGGGAAGTGTAGGGCTAGGAAGCTTCCAGCTCCACATCTTTTGGCCTCTGGCGGCTTCCGGCCTGCTCAGTGCCGAGCCAGAGAACTCATAGAACGTTAAAGACCCAACAGACTTCAGGGTCTCAGTCTTCTCTCCAGCCAAGGGCGCTGATCCCTCTCCTGTTGGAAGAGAAGGCGACTGAGGAAAGGCACACCGGCGACCGAGTAAAAGGACCCAAAGAACACAGAGCAAGCCGGTCCACCAGGCGCTAAGAGGGCTTGAACCCGCTATCCAAGGAAAGGTCCGTGAAGCACCGCCCAAGCAGGCGGAGCGGAAGGCGGGGCCCATACAATTGGTGCCCAGCCCTTCGCCTCAGCCAATAGGCGACGAGGGCGGCCTGGGGGCGGGCCCCCCCGCCGCCGCGGAGTGTCTTCACCCCTCTCGCCGTTTCCGTCAGGTACCCGTGCGGGCTCCTCAGTGCTGGGGCTCGGGCTCCAGCTTGGGTCGGAGCCGGGGCGCCACGAGGGCGGCAGGCGGGCGTGGGGTGGCCTCGGGCGGGGTTCTGGGGCGCGGGCTGAGGGGGCGCGCTGGGCCTCGGGCGGCGGGCATGCTCGGCCTCTGCTCCCGTTTTCCCTGCTGACGGCTCCGGACCCAGCGGGCT